GAAAGAGTGAATACACAGAGCAGGTTCCTACAGCAGTCTGAGAGACCAATACCAGCCTAGTACATAAGACTGAGAAATTGAATTAATATACACACAGCAAGATTAATTAAAAAGGAAGAGGCTGTTTTCTTATTCTGTGTACGTTTATATTGTTTATAGTCTTACAGTATGAATTCTGATCTGATTGTGTTTTGTAAAATTATGGAAATACAATGCTTGCAAATACTTGCACAGAAAGTAATTTTTTCAGTTGATTTCACAAAATTGATGAGAAGTAGAGTAATTACCATGATACAATACACATCCTGCAAATAAGGCTCCATTTAGCAATTTTTATGGTCTTTCTCCCCTTTCTCTCTGTTTGCATTATGCAGCATTTTGTCCATACCACATTGGTCACTTCTCCATTGTTGGCCTGGGCTTTGAAGAATATGTAAGTACTGGTTTATAGTGTCAAAATGAAAAAAAAACCAACCTGACACTATTTAATCACAATAGTTTTGTAGCATCCTTCCACTTATATTTATGATCACAAAATTCACCTGGAATGTGTCTCATGTTTCTATTCTCAAACGTTTTTTAATCTGTGGTTAAAAATGTTCTCTCTTCCCATTTCCTCCATGATTTGCATTTCAACTGAGGTTTCCTTTTCCACAAAAAACTGCATATGTTTGGGGGGGTTTAAGAGTCTTTTGTTCCCCATGTATATTTTCAATTTGTGTACTAAATAATTTTCATAGTTGATGATAGTAAGTAGTGAAAGCTAGTGAGGTAGTGTAAAGTGACATACAGAGGTTTTTTCATGTTTGAAGAAAGTAGTTGTCAGTATTTCCAGTAAATATAATTAAAACTAAAGAAAATTGTCATTCTCCTTGAAGAGTTGAGACTTGGGATTTATCTGAATTACATAAAAAGGAGGTGTAATCTCTTCAGAAACTGATAAACATCCTCTTTTTTTCCCCTCTTCTCCAGGTTCAAGCATCTCACTTTGAAGGCCTGATTACAACTATAGTTGGATACGTTCTGCTAGCAGTGACTCTAATTATTTGCCATGTATCCTTTTGTCACTAGTTATCTGGCTCAGATTTTACATGTAAATAAATTTTCTGCTTGTATTTTGAGAAGGCACAGACATGATGTAGATGCAGTCAATTTACCATTTTGTTCTGCTATTTTGGTGAAATAAGAAGAAAAGATCTCTTCTGTCTGAGGAGTGTAGAACCATTGTTTTTTTCCCTCACTGTCCTCACATGATTGCTCTGGGCTACATAGTTGCAGCAGAAGGAGAAATGGGATTATGAATATATGTACAGTATGATGGGAAATTTACTCATCTTTTTGATCCTGTCAGATTGTTAGAGTGCAGATTGCTTTAGTTTCCATTTCACATCTCTGAACCACTGAGAGTTTGCAGCAAGGACTTCTTTCAGGTGATAACCCTTGTTATTACAGAGAAAATTAAGTAACAGTGGAGTCCTGAAAGCTTAGAAGGATTCGACTGCAAGTAAAAAGTCCGCATTCAAGCTGCATGTTTTTAAAGGGAGTACCCCAAATTCAATAAGAAAGAATAAACATTTGTTAGCAGTTTTCTGTTTAAGAGTACACAAAGCTAACATCAACTTTAGACCACACTATACCAATGTCCAGTGCAAATGTGGTAAAACAGTTGATTGGCATATCTCTGTTTTACTTCCTGAAAGAAAACAAAACAAACCCCCTAAGTGTAATATGCATCCAGCTCTTCTTGGAAAAGATGAGAATTTATTTCAGACTGAATAAATAGGAAAGCTACCATTTAAGATAGGCCTTCAGTTTTGAGAGATCCTTACTTATGACAGACGTATTCAAAGGTAACTGTTTATTTCTTGAGAAAACTTCTGGATGCTTACTTAAGAAGGGTGGTAGTATTTTTGTTTGTTTGTTTTAGATGCATGTTGGGGGGGGATGTTATCCAGCACATCGGATTGTGACTTCCAGAGACATGAGCAATTTCGAAAATAGAACCCTGATAAAACACTTCCTACTTCAGCTCTGTCTTTTATAAAATTTCCTGTTGCTAAAAGCCACATAAGATAGTGTTTAATGTTAATCAAACTATGCTGTAGAATATTCTTCAGTATTATTTTCTTGACAAAACTATTCAGGGTTTGGCAGCTCTTGTTAAGTTTCAGCGATCACGTCGTTTATTAGGAGTTTGCTATATTGTTGTCAAGGTAATCTATTTCTCTTGTGTGTGTGTGGGGAGCAAAAAACCCTCTGAATTTAAGCTTACATTATAATTGTCTTAGCAAATTTCTGTTAAACTAGTGAGATGGTTTTTTCTCTTTTTTTTTCTAAAGGTTTCCTTGTTAGTAGTGGTGGAAATTGGTGTGTTTCCTCTCATCTGTGGCTGGTGGCTGGATATATGCTCTTTGGTAAGAATGGAAGTAAATGGGATAAAATCTTTAACAGTGTTTGTATTTAATGGAAAAGTTTTGGTGAGAAGAGAGTTGTTAAGAGTTTGACACCGTTATTCTCTTTTTTTAAACATAGTGTTTCTAGCAGGAAAGAGTTTTTTAGGTACTGCTTAATGCTAATTTTGTTTTCCTTTATGTTGCTAAACACAAATGCAAATGTAAACTTGTGCACTGAATAAACTTAGTAGCCATCTTATGTGAAATGGTAATATATTTTAATATTTTTGTATTAATGGTAATATATTTTAATAATTATCCAGTCTCTCTGTTTTGAACAAGATAGGTGCTATGTTTACTTTGAATTGAAAGGACAGTTTTTCTGTGATCAATTTGAAATGGAGAAAATTAATTTCTTCTGGTCTTAGTTGACATAGAATTTTACTTAGAGGAATAAGTGTTTCCTTCTATCACAGTGCCACTTTGAACTGGTTTATAACTTAGGTAGTACATGTTAGTGTTCGAGTTGACTTCTTTCTGTCAGAAGAAAGAAAATGATCAGAAATTGATCTTTATTTGCTGTTCTTATTGTAAGTTATTCCCCCATTTTTTATTTATTTTTTTTAATTAAATGTTATAATTATTCACGTGTTGGAACAAGGCAGATGTTTAAATTAAATGCCTAGCAGTATATATGAACTAGGACAAACAAAATGAGTAACTGTGGAAGATTGCCAAATTTATTCATATTGTTTACTACTTATCTTTTAGGAAATGTTCGATGCCACTTTGAAAGACAGAGAATTGAGCTTTCAGTCTGCCCCAGGTACCACAATGTTTCTGCACTGGTTAGTTGGGATGGTTTACGTCTTTTATTTTGCATCCTTCATCCTTTTACTGAGGGAGGTAAGTCTATAAGAACAGGATTGGTATGGAACACAGAGAATGTTGCATGTAGAATTTTTGGTTAAATATTTCACATATGGGTATTGCTGCTACTGTGTTTTGTCTATGTATATTGAATTTCAACCTTACGTAAAAAGGGTCACACTGGTAGTTAACTGCAGTGAGATATGGAGTGTATTTCAGTTACAGGTTTTTAGTTATAAAGAGTCCTTAAACATAGGTATTGACTTCAGATGAATCTAAATATAGTTGAGTTTTTTTAGATTGATTAATACTTAAAAAAATAAGCTTGTAATTAGTTACTGCTTCTTTATGTTTTTCTGATAATGCTTTTTTTGTTTGATGTCTGTACCATTTTGTTGAACCTTGTTCAACAAGTAACCGTATTATGTTTAAAACTTATTTACTGCAGCAGTGTTACCCAAAATGAAAAACAAAAAACAGAAAGATAATTTTCTCTTCCTATATTGTTTTCTATTTCCTCTTACAGGTATTGAGACCTGGTGTCTTATGGTTTCTCAGGAATTTGAATGATCCAGACTTTAATCCTGTGCAGGAAATGATTCACTTGCCCATTTATAGACATCTCAGGAGATTTATCTTATCAGTGGTAAGGACTTTCTTCAAAATTTTCTGTATTTGGAAAGAAAATGTCATACGTTGCCTCGCCTGTATGCTGCAAAGATCTGCTTGTTACTGAAAGTCTTAAAAGATACGTTCTCGGACTGTGTTGGAGCTGATGGCTATTTGAACTTCACCTTTTAATTTATTTAGCTAATTCATTCAGAACTTTTACCAGCCTCATGCTGGAATAGGGGATGGAGTTAATTTTCTTCATAGTGGCCCGTGTCCTTCTGCACTTTGGAATAGTGGCTGAAACAGTATTGCTGACACACTACTGTTTCGGCTATGGCTGAAGGGTGCTTGCTGAAGCAAGCTGTGGCTGAAGGCTTTTCCTCAGCTTTTGCATTGGCTGTTAAACTGTCATTATCTCAATCCATGAGTCTTCTTGCCATCCTTCTATTTTCTCCCCATTTAGCCACAGAATGGGAGGAGAATGAATGAACAGCTGGGTAGATGCCTGGTTGATAGCCAGGGTTAACCCACCACAGACGGACAACATGTCAGAGAGATGGGTAGGGAACTAGATTTGGTTGTTTCTGCTATTTGGACTAACTTGTTTGACTTCCTTGTTCCAGATTGTCTTTGGATCAATTGTACTGCTCATGCTCTGGCTTCCTATACGCATTATTAAATATCTTCTGCCTAACTTTCTTCCATATAATGTTATGCTTTACAGGTAAGCCTTTATTTTAAAAAAGATGTTTTTCAGTCTCCCTGTAACTAGAAAAAAGTATTTGCACTCTTTGAGCATTAGTGTGACACTGGTATGTTACTTTTTTTGTTTTCAATTAATCTAAACTTCATTGTTCTAGAAAAGTAAAAATACAAAGGATGTGGATACACAAAGTTTGTCAAATAAAAAGGCAGTAAGAAAAATAAAAGGCATTTTGTATTACTTCCATTATGATAACTGTTAGATTTTTTATGTGCCCTTAGAGCACTTTCCCCTTCAACTTTTTGATAGTGAAGTTGCTGCCATGTTTGTTTTCACATTCATTCCTGATTATCATTACTTCATAAATAAAAGAATATCTGTAACAGTGTGTCTTTTTAATGGTACCAGTATCTTTCTGTTTCTTAGCAATAATTGAAACAACAATGATAAAAGCAAGTAGCAGACCAAATCATATTCTCTGATATAATCCTTCTCAACATTTTTTTTCTTTCTTAATGCCTAAACACTCATGAACACTTCACCTCAGAATAGGATATAAGGAAAAATGTCTGCAAAAACCTTAGAATTGTTCGTGTTGGCATCCACTATGTTTTTTCATTGTGGTGGTGGTAATGTGACTCAGTGTAAAAGATTCCTATCAGAACGTTCCTTACGTTTGACTTTCTGCTCTTCCCATGGTTTCTAGTGATGCTCCAGTAAGTGAGCTTTCCCTAGAGCTCCTTCTGCTTCAGGTGGTGCTTCCAGCTTTGCTAGAACAAGGGCATACAAGGCAGTGGTTGAAAGGTCTTGTACGAGCATGGACTGTTACTGCTGGATACTTGCTGTAAGTACAGAAAACCAAAATCAACTACAAACATTGTGTCCAGCTTAGCCGTTTACCATGAAAGCAGCATGCTTTCCAGAGAGTTACCCGACAAGTAAGCTATTTTACAGATAAATACACGACATAAAACTTTTATAGTTACTTCCTTCTTCTAAGGAGTAGTTGTACCTACTTCTTGACAACTAATCTTTTGGTACGCTCTTACAGCATTTGCTTAGCAAAAAAAAAAATCCATAGAAGTATGACTAACAGCTTGTTAACTTCCTATTATATGGAAAAATTAGAGGTAAGTGTCAGCAGTGCATTTCCATGAGTCATCTTGCATTTCTTACTATAAGAAGTGGGAAAAAAAAAATTTTAGAACACTGAACTGAAGAAGTGCATACCTTTTAAATTGGGGATTTTCAAGTTAAAAGTCTCTAAAGAAGGCTAAAACTGTATCTTTGTCAGATAAAATAAATATTTATACAAAGTGAGGTTCTTTAATTTAGACTGCCAGGCAGAGCTCTAGCACTTGAAATTGTTTTTTAGTTCATATGTTGTTTGCCAAATTAGCCAAGAAAAAAAAAGGTTGATTTTGTTAATATACAGTTTTAAATTTAACTTCGAAGTACATTGTCATTCTCTCATCATGTCTTGTTCATTGTGTGTTGTGCTAATGCAGCACTATTAGGATGAAGATTGATTTTTTTGCTATCTCTGAGGCTGAGACTTTTTAATTCCACTGCAATCCAAAATACTTCTTTTAGCTTCTCATAAGGAAACTCTCCCGACCCTGTTCTCTTAGTTTGCATTTGGAAACTTATGGTTTTAATTAATTTCTCCATGTTTTGATAGTGCTTAAGTATGACAGAAGAGAATTTTGGACATGATGGTAGAAATACTTTGCTTTCTCTACTGTTGCAGCTTGTAACAGTTGTGAAATACCTCTTCAGCAATTTTAGTTGAGCAAAGATGAAAAGCTTTTCCTCTGCTTTTCTTAATAAGCAAACTGCTGTGAAAAATGTTCTTATTTTTTGGCCAATAGACTATCTACATGTATCTTATGCTAATAAAAATTCTACTAAAGCTGAGGAAAATTAGATTCTAAATGTTCATATTGGGTTTTGGGGGTTTTAATCAGACTCAGATACCTATTTGCTATTGGTGTATGCCAGAAATATCAACAGAATACTTTTTAAAGTAGATTGACTCTTTTTAGGGTGGTGGTCTTAGAAAGCTCTGAACCGGTTTTGAGCAATATAGAATCTTCTTGGAAAAACTCTCCCTGACCGTACTTTGGAAAATGTGTCTATAGCAATTCAGTACTGTCCTTGTACAGTTTAGGTTTGAAGGCAGTTGTTTCCAACAGAGCTTAGTAGCAGTAAAATAAAAGCTGTCAGTTGAATTGCCTGCTTACATGAACTGAAATAGTGATGCAATTTTCCTTTTATATGCAACTTTAATAGCAGATGTTTTTAAAGCAGTCAGACAGATAAATACTTTACTTGTGGCTGTATTCCCACTGTTCTAATCTGCATCCACACTCTGATTTTTCTTCCAAAGTCTGTGTTGAGGATGACATCGAGTACATTATCAGGAAATGGTTTACTTTATCAAGATTCTGCCAGTACTCTGTAGAAGTTTTATGCAGCTTGTACGCATTCTGGGTAGGCCTCTCTTTCTGTAAGACTGTCATTCATATCAAACAGAACAAAGCTGAAAATTCGATTGTTACAGGGATCTCCATTCTTACCTACTTGGAGACCAGGAAGAGAATGAAAACAACGCAAACCAGCAACCTAATAACCAGCATGCTCGCAATAATAATGCCATTCCAGTTGTGGGAGAAGGTCTTCATGCAGCCCATCAAGCCATACTTCAACAAGGAGGACCTGTGGGTTTCCAGCCTTATCGTAGGCCTTTAAAATTCCCGCTCAGGGTAGGTATATTTAATGCATTAAGAGAAGGGCAAAGATTTGGCCCACGTTATCAGAAATCAAATGGTGGGTCATGTCGTTTTGTGTTTTGTACAATTTGCATCTATCTACTCTTTAGAAAGTAGAGTTAGAGTTATTCTCACATACAGCTTTTTTTTTCCAGCCTGTAACTTAAGACCTTCAATTACCACAATTGTTGTGTATTTTCTATTAGGTCATGTTCTTATTTTCCTAATGGTTAGTAATAAAGAGAAATAGAAGAACTCCCCAGCAAACAGGTAGTTCAGGAGGCATGGCTTTCAAGAGGGCATACTTCAGTCTTGTAGCCAAAGTGTGTTTTAAACTATTTTGCTTTATTAAAGAATTAAATGGAGAACTTTTATTGTATCTATATTAAAACATAGAAAGGTGTTACAATACTTGAAAGTTCTGGATTTCTACAATTTATTGTTGGCAAATACTTCAATTTCTAGAAAAATATATAGGTTAAACTAGATAAATTGTTTTGTTGTTACCAGAACTCTGAGTTAATTAAATATAACCTTAAACACAACTAACTTACTATGGTTTCAGGTATAGCTCAAGAGTTGAAGTAATGGCTAAAGTTAGAACAATGCAGTATTGCTCATGTTTTCTTAAAATGCAGAATCTACCAGAATTCTCATGACAAAGTACAAAATAAAGCTTTTTCTTTCTCACTACTTTGTCACCACCTCCCCCTCTCTCCACTTAAATCTCAACCTAATAGAACTGCAAGCAAATTTGAAAGTATTTTAGGATACTGTTTAGCTTCTGGGTGTTTGAAGTTGGGGCTTTGGGGCAGGTCGGGGGGACAAGGGGGGAAATAATTCCCCATGCTGCTGGTTTTACCCTCTAAAATGGCTGTCAAGGAAGGGGTGTGTTAACCTAGGGACTCATTAAATACTTTCTAGAAATACCTCTGTATGGGTTATTTTATTTTTGTGGATGCTTCTGGATAAGGACATGTGCTAAAATCATATTATGAGCTTTCAGTAATTTGGGTTGCTGACCTAGTGATAATAACTAAGCAGTTTCATATTCAGCTGCCAAAGACTTTTTTCTGGTCTGCTTACCTTCATCTAGATATTTTAAGTAGTTCTTTGGAGACATTCTACAGAATGTATAAATTAATAAAAAATCTGATCCATTGTTTTCAAGAGATTGTTTTCAAGCACTTGCACAATCTCAGACATGTGGTAGCTCCCTGATATAGTTCTGTGTCCCTTGTTCCACTTGTTAGAAATATTTAAATAATGAATCACTCAGCATCACTGTAGGTGCTTCAGCTGTCATTTTTAGTATATTGACCTTGGTTCTTCTTATAACTTCATCTTAAGAGAAACGTGTCTCCCACACAGACTTCCACTAGGGAACAGTGCTGTATTTTAATTACTTTCTCAATGGGGACTTTAAGCATTTGAGAAGGAAAATAAAAAAAAAAAAATGGTGTTAAACATCTGAACTTTTTTGTGCTGTCTTTTTTTTCTCCCCTCTTCATTTTATCCGAGTTGTAAGAACCTAGAAGAAGGTGGTTTATATTCAGTTTTTATTATGTGTGAATGTTTTCCACTAGAATGCACTCATCATGTCCATATGAATTGGGCAATCAACAGAACTGATCCTTTGTTATTTCAGTTACGAATAAGCATGTGGTAAAAAACTTTGGTTTTGATAATTTTTTTTTCTTTAATTAAGCATATACTGTTAAAATATCAGAATTTTTTTCATTATTATTCTACATAAAAACCTATCATCAGTTTTATCAGGCAATGTATATAATTCTTTCTAACTCATTCCTCTTCTAAACAAACTTTCTCTTGTGGGGACCTCCCAAAGCCTCTCAAACAAATGCAGATGTGTAGAAGTTGTTGAATTTTCCTGCTACTGCCTTATCTTCCTTCTAGCCTGCCCTTCATAATCCATAGTTGTCAGCAGAGCCTGAAAACTCTCTGCAAACTTTTTTCTGAGGATTTTTAGATTTTATTACCTTATTGTTGATCCTTTTTAATTAAAAAAAACACAAACTATCTATAAAAACAAATTTATCATTACTTCTCGTGGGCTTTGGTATGCTATTTCTGAAATCCCTTCTGAATTTCACTTACTAAAGTTCATCCATTTTCTGGTTTGGTTTGGATTGGTTTGATTTTATCTTCCCTCCCCCGGATTTATTCCGTCTTCTGGAAGTCATTTTTAGTTTACTGTTTACTGTGGCAACTTCAGGGAGATCTGCAAGATCTTTGAGTCTGAATATATTGTGGTCACTGTCAGTGCTGCTTCTGTGATATGAGTGACTGGCTGCCTGTGCGTTATTTAGGTCCAAGTCAGGAATTGCTCTTCCTCTTGTATGTTCTCACTGATCCAAGAAGCAGCTATTTGTAGTGTTCAAAAGCTTCATACTGGCTTTTGTCCTTCATGTGTTGTTTATTCCCATATGGACTGACTTTCCCCTGGCATTCCCTAAGTAACAAATTATTTCAACAGTATTGGTCTCAAGCAATTCACACCATGTTTTCCTCACCTTTGAGGTTTTTTTGTCTGCAGTCCAGTTGTCAGCTACTCTGATTTTCTTCCTTCCATCATTTGGGATCTCTAACCCTAAAGAGAGTATTCTGCATGAAAAAGGGTACATGGCTGTCACCTTGGCAAATAGTTGGGTGTTGTGGAATCATCCCTCTTCACTCAGGCTAATGTTTACAAAATCACAAGATTTTCCTTCCTTTAAGCAGTGCTGAAGATCAGTTGCAGAGATGCAACTGATCTACATTGTCCCAAAAAGTCTCATCAAGGAAAATGTGTGTTACAGATTTAACTTTCTCAGAAGTCTGTTATGATAAGGTGTTAGTTTGCCCATTGTTTTTTGTGTGGCTTTGATTAGTGAAGCAGAGTTTCATAGCACATTCAAATACTTAAAGAGATCGAGTACATGAGAATTCTCTGATAAGATATAAACCTGACTAACTAGCTGCCAGCTTTCCTGTCAGCTGCTGGTGACATAAACCTGAGGGCATCTGGAAGAAGTCTCTCAGCAAGTTTTTCCGTGTTGTAAAACCATTGTCTTGCTTAGCTGGCACACAGAGAAACCTTTAATTGAAAGTCATGCTGATCAGTGCAGAAGTAGATTATTTTTTAATGTAACACAACAAAAACCTTAAGTCGTTCTGGATTCAAATGTTAATTTTTACTGTTGTGACAACTGATGTGAACTTCTGAAAGAAATACGTAACACTGTAGGTGTGCTTTGTACACTGTGGATAGGTTTCTTATTGCTGATTTATTTATACAGTGAAACATGAGTTGGTGTTTGAGTGTTCTAGTTTAGCTGTGTTTCTAGGATGATACATCTTTTTAAATGTTTCTATTTGCTTTGGTTAAATAACTTCCTTATAAACCGTTTCTCTTTTTCTTTCCTCTTTCAGATATTTCTTTTGATTGTTTTCATGTGCATAACATTACTGATTGCTAGTCTTATCTGCCTTACCTTACCAGGTAAGTCCATTATTGTGAAACAACAATGAAACAACCTCAGCATGTTGCCATGCTCAACAATGGCAGATGTTTTGAAACTATTGTTTCAAGTTAAAAAGAGAAAGCATGGAAAATGATGTCTTGTTTTTAATGGTACCTCAACATATTTTAATAATCTAAAATGTAAATGATAAGAGATAGTACCTGTATTTAAATGACAGACATTGCCATTTCATTTTTTTGTTGTAGAATAATTTTCTTCTAAGGGCAGGGCTTCAAATGCTGAGACAATCTCTGTAGTGGAATTGAGAGAAAAAGAGAATTTAAACTCTTGCACCTGCTTTACCATTTAGAGAAGGAAATTATATAGGTTGTTACCAGGTCTAAAATAATAAAATAAATTCCAATATAATACTAGTGAATAGAAACACGATTAAAAAGTGAAATGTAGCAAATGTCTCCTGTTTTTGTCAGAGAGCTTCAGAAGCCCCATTAGAAAGTGATAAAAAACGTAGCTCTTAAGGTTCAAGTTCAAGCTTATGCACAAATTCATTATTGCCTTTGCAGTTCTGAAGATCAGTGTTTAGGTTCTGAATAGTGCTTTGTTTTGCTGTAGTTCAGATCACATTGCTGGTGTAATGACATTTTAGGGGGGAAAAATCCTACATATGTATTTGGCATCATTTAGGTAATTATTTACGCAGCACTTCACACATTCATGCCATATTGGTATAGTACTAAAATATTGCTTTATGTTGAATAATACTTATGCATTGATATTTAATAATAAATTTGATAAGTGTTTTTTTAATAGGCATCCTTCCTTAATACATGAAAAAGCATTACTCTATTTAACAGTGTTTGTGTTTTCAGTATTTGCTGGCCGATGGTTAATGTCATTTTGGACGGGGACTGCCAAAATCCATGAGCTGTACACAGCTGCATGTGGTCTTTATGTATGTTGGCTAACTATCCGAGCAGTGACAGTGCTGGTGGCCTGGATGCCACAGGGTCGTCGAGTGATTTTTCAGAAGGTTAAAGAATGGTCTCTCATGGTGAGTCCGGAGACAAATGTTTCACTGAATTATCAAAAAAGTAGCTAATGACTTGTTCTTTCAGTTTTGGTTCCAGGTTTTACTCTCTCATATATATTACACTTTCCTTTTTGGACTGTTCAGAAGCTTTTGCAGCTTACATTCTCATTGCATAGGCTAACTGTATTTTTGGAAGCCACTTAGAATATTAAGCCATCAGTGTAAATAAGTTTGCATATATATACTTTTTCTATAGTATGTGCATGTTTTTCTGTTTTCCTTTAAAAGTGAGTGTGATTCATTATATTACCCTGTGTGATGCATCCTCCAATACATTTACATTTTCACATACACCTGGAAGCTTAACTGTTACTCTTCTAGCAACTTGACATTATTAAATAAGAAAAACAAACTATTAAAACTGATAAATGATGATGAATGTGTCCCTATAGAGTAGCTTGATGCATATTTTCAGGAAGATCTTTATAATTTGTCAGATCTTCGTGATGTTCAAATTCATGATTTTAAAGAAAATTCTTTTTTTTTTTTTTTTTATTATGAGGAGTTCAGAATCTCCCCATGGCAACAAATTTATATCCCACCTTTTTATTTTAGTTTTGAGGATTTCTGTAGTAGATTTTTTGCCTAAATATAGTAATTTTAAACATCCAGGCACAGTCAATCCTTTTTCAGGAGGGAGCTGGGGAGTAGAACCCAATCTTGAAAATTTGCATTGCAAAACTATGTATGTAAGAAACATTATTTTTAGGGGTATATATGTATTAATTAAAGGTCGTGTATTTTTTTTTCCCTCCACCTTTCTCTGTATAGTTTAAATTACATTTTGAAGTTTAAACAGAAAGAATCCTCCGATGAAAATATTAATGAGGTGCCTTTGTTTTTTTAGATAATGAAGACATTAATAGTGGCTATACTGCTAGCTGGCGTGGTTCCACTTCTACTTGGTCTTCTGTTTGAACTGGTCATCGTTGCACCTTTGAGGGTTCCTTTGGATCAGACACCTCTCTTCTATCCTTGGCAGGTCAGTTGCTCCCATTCTTCTTCTGCTGTTGATACATTTCTTTACTTAGAATTCAGGAGTACGGGAGATTGTTTCATGTCAATTCAGTGCTTCAGAGCATTTTCCGTTTGTTTCTATGTGGCAGAGAAAAGACATCCTGTCTGGATGTGACAATTATTTCAACCAAAAGGATTTGGTTAGGAATTCCAAGTATGAAAAGCTAAACTCTGTGGGATGACATCAGAGGGTCTTTGCATTTTAGTGATTGGGTGGGTTTTTTTTTTCTCAGTAGCATAACTGTAAAGATATATACAGAAGTTAGTATAGCTGTTATGCACTTACACACAGATGTACATACTCTGACCTTTCCGGAAAGCTTTCTGCCTAGTTATGCAGCAAGAGGTTTACCTGACCTTTTTGTCATACAAGGTTTCAATTCAGTGATGATGCACGCTATGAATGGAATTTTGATATGCTTTAGGATCATTCTTAGTTCTTTAAAAATTTGGAATTAAATATACTGGAAGATTTTATATTCATGTGGCAAAGCTTCCTCAAAATATTGGGTTAGTGGCATTTGAGTTTTGTTCTAAATTAACAGGGAGCTATTGAAATAGGGAATAATTCCCATTTTTCACAAAAAAGAATAGTTATACAAAGGTTACATGGTTGAGCAAACAAGAAGCAACTTTAACATGGACTTCTTTGTAACAAGTTTTTAAATTTTTGAATATATCTGGGGTAACATGTTAATAAAAGCTGTATTTTTAAATAATTGTTTAAAATCTATTTCCACAGCATTTTAAGAAAGTTAATTAACATACGATGTCTTCTGTCTTATCAGTTCTGCAGCTGTTCTCCCTTGTCAGCCTTTGCATTCTAATTTTGGTGGGGTTTATTGAAGAACTTCTCACAAATCTGGATTACAAATCTGTAATCCAGAAGAGACTGACCCATGACGTACAGGGTTTACTAGGAGCCTGTTGTTACACTGTGTTTGTTTAATTCCATGTCATAATAATTGTGGTATATGTATAAAGCATAAATTCCCCACTGAATAGTATGACATTCTTTTGAGAGTAAGAGTGCCTTGCTTTGTTTAGCTTTTCCCAGATCAGGTAGGGTTTTGTGGACAATTACAATTTAAAAGAAGAAGGGAAAAAACCTAGCATGTTCCAGAGAGCTGAGTATTCTATAGATGTCAGTTAAGCTTGAGAGTATCCTCTCTTTCTGATGAGTTTGAATATGTCACGTCTTTTAAACAATATCCCCATGTCAACAGAAAAGTAATTGTCTTTTCACTTATAAAGTAATATTAACAAGTTGCTTTAAAAGCTTTTGGTTGTCAAACTATTTCAAAAGATGTTAATGCTAACTGTCCACTTTTACAAAATTAGGACTGGGCTCTTGGAGTTCTGCATGCCAAAATAATTGCTGCCATAACACTGATGGGTCCCCAGTGGTGGCTGAAAACTGTTATTGAACAGGTAGGGAAAATTGCCCATGTATATTATCTGTATAATACATTCTTAACAATTTATGAATGTGTGAGTTGTGAAATGGACTTACTGTTGTAGTAATGGAGTAGTTTGAGTAATTGAGTAAAACTCAACTAGTTTTGTAGAATCCTTTCAAATAGTATAGCCTAATCCATTAAGGTACACTTCATAATAAAACAAAGAAAAACCTCAGAAATCTGAAATCAAGAAGTTGCGGAGTATGTGTATATGTAATTTTATCAGGTTTGTATTGAAGTGAGAAATATCATTATTTCTTCAGGTGAATTCACATGTGAACAAATACTGGATATTATTTATCAAGAACAGAGAATTTCTGCCTTCTCCACAGCTGTAGAGATTAGCTCATTCATAGATGAGTACATATGAAAGACAGTCTTTCCATTCCCCTTTGATTATTAAGACAGAACAGGTTTTGTGAGCAGTTCTGAGTCACATGGCCTGTTGCTTTCTTTGGAAGATGTATTTTTTTCTTAATTATAATCTTTAAGTTCTACAGTTGTCGTCTCTATGAAGTATCTCCACTGTTTGTCAGAAAGTAACTTTTCAGCCCTGTCTTACCTGAAGTGGCTATGATGCATGTCCTGACCTCTGTACAAGAGGTGGCTTCTCGTAAGTCTAGCACACAGTCCCAGATGTTAAACCATCACCTTAGGTGTCACACTGGAGAAATGAAGTCTTAATTCTGGAGTACCTTTTGACACATACAAAGGCTCTTCCTTCCATTTTGCATACTCTCCCTGGGCCTGTTTGTTGTACACACATTCTCCTGAGCCATCCTTAGAAATGGATGCATCCAGGCTGTGGGACAGAGGCTGCTGTCTAGCTGTATGTCGTAGCCATTTGGAACCGGTCTTTTCCTATGATTAGTCATGTTGAGACCTTGGCTTCTGATAGGAGCTGCAGAAACTTAAGAATTATGGAGGCACTTTCTTCAGGCACAGACTCCACAGTCTCCTACAGTCACCTACAACATAAGATCCTATTTCCACCTGTGTTACCAGATTTAAGAGATTTGCTCTACTAGCATACACAGGATCCTCTTCTGGCAAGCTAACAGCACAAAGCAGTCTCAGGTCATCATCCATAAAACCACCCTCCACAGCTATATTTAATGATGCTTCAGCTGGTCTTTTGCACTCCTGCAACCAAATCACAACACTACTCAAGATTAAGTTGCTCTCCTGAACACTGTTTAAATGATTTTCTGGAACCCTGATGTAGATTGGTATGGAGTTTTTTCCTTCTTCAACTGTAGCTGTCATGGTTTTCTTCAAGTTTGGAACACCTGTTTCCTCTCATAAGGAGAATTGTGTAAAACCTTGTAATTATTAATATAAGCGCAAAGCATGGCTTTTTGATTGACCCTTTCTACGTCTAACTTCTTGTTCTTAGGTATATGCAAATGGGATTCGCAACATCGATTTACACTTCATAATCCGTAAACTGGCAGCACCTGTAATCTCTGTTCTGTTGCTTTCCCTGTGTGTACCATACATCATAGCCTCTGGTGTTGTACCTTTATTAGGTATGTATGCATTCAGAATACCTTGTTCATTATCTGATGGTTCAGAGCAATGTAAATAGATCTGTGGAAATAAAACTTCAAGCTCTAGGTTATTTAAAAACAAACACACACCACTATTCTGCCAGCAAATGTAAATCCTTAAGAATTGCTATGTCATCTTAAAAGTTCGGGATTTTTTTGAGAAATGCAATATATTATTCTGACTGGCTTTTTAAAACTAAGTGCAGAATGCATTGAGAGTATGGGGCGCATAACATCTAACAGGAGAAATGTAGGTATCTAGCTAGTCTGGAAAAGGGATGATTAATTCCTTCTTTGGACAAACCTTTAATTTCTGTTTAAAAGCTATACTGAGTTGAGGACGTCTTTTCTGACTTGCCAGATTCTAAGGGAAGCTTAGAACAGGTAGAAATATGGGTTGAGGTTTTCATTCAGTGTCAAAATGTAAATTGTATTTTTTTTTTCTTTCAGACTTCCCTATCTCTTCATAGGTGAGGGAAATAATTTTATCAGAAGCAGGTAGATGTGCTTTTTCATCAACAGTTGTCTTTTGCTAGTTAGTTTTGATGTTACAACACGTTCAACCTCTCACTTGAATACAGATTTTAGTGTCAACTTTCTGACACAATTTATAAAGAAGTCAATTAGCAAGAAAAGATGATACGCTCTTTTTTTTTTTTTTTTTTTTTTTTACTGTGGATTTTCACGATGTTCATGGAAAACTCCAGTTTTAATGCTTTGGGTGAAAAAGAACAGTAGCTGTTACGTTGGATCTGTGAGATAAATGGTTGTGCTATTCATTCACATCCCTTCTACTGAAGTTACAGCACAACAGAAAGTATGGAAGCAGGCAGAGAAGCAGAGATGCATGAGTCACTTTAGCAGTGTTAGATTATGTGAAGGTTGTGTCCTGTTTTGCAGGAGTTACTGCTGAAATGCAAAACCTCGTTCAGCGACGGATTTATCCTTTTCTGCTTATGGTGGTGGTTTTGATGGGAATTCTCTCCTTCCAAGTCCGCCAGTTCAAGCGCCTTTATGAACATATTAAAAATGACAAGTGAGTATATGGGTGGGGGGTGGGGGTTAATTTTTACCCTTTAAATTGAGATAACAACTTCAGATTGGATGCACGTGTTGTAGATACTTAGGGCTAAAAGGGATTTTGAGAAGCTTTCTGGACTTACGACCCTCTAAGGCAGACCTGAACTGTTCTTGGCAAATGTTTTATCTGTAGTTCAGGTAGGTAAACACAGGAACAAATTGTCTTTATAAATGGAAGATACTCCCTTATATCTGACTTGGATATGTTTTACCACAAATGAAGCTGATTGCTTGGTTTTTTCCCCCTCTGTAGTCTTGAAGGACAAGTGAATGTAATACTGAGTCATAATTAAAATTAAACTCTCAGCAGGTCATTTTGTATCTTAGCACCTTGTATTTGATCAGCTAATTTAAATCCTGTCCCCCACCTGCCTTCATAACATGTTCCATAGTATTTGGCCTACTGTAGTATGTATAGCTGATATTTATATTTACAGGTGGGTTTTGAGCTAAATGTTAGTATCTTTCAGGTAGAATGCATATTGAATTGCAGCTTGCGTTAATGTTACAAGTTGCTTTTCTGCATAAATAAGGCATGTAAACAAATACAAAGCTGTATCTAAGTGAAAATTACTTTGATATTAAAGGAACTTACTAAATGTTACAACCATCCTTGTAGACAAGAAGTTTGTACAACTTAAGTTAGTGATCTCATTTCAGGAAGTAAGCAAACATAGTCATGCTAACCAGTAGAGATTTATGGTTTAGAAATGTGCTTGACTAAGTCTTTCATGTAACAGATTTCAAAAGCATATACAAGTGTTTGTGACATTCTTAAAATGTGCAAAAGGATGTGATGGTTACTTGGTTATGATACTGTAAGAAAAGGAGCAGTGGTGAATAAATTTCTGAAGGAAATTGCAGGTTTCAGGGGAATAATTCATAGGTGTGTATGGCTCTTCTACATGCAGAGCCATCATACAAATAGGAAGCACGGAAAGGAATTTAGATTGCAAAAACTAGAAGTGTGAAACAGTGATCTGGAAGAAAGAAGGACTGTCAAAAGTAGGAAAACTGCTCAGCTGTTGAGATGTTGAAACAGAATTTAAATAAAGGAGTCCTATCGCCCTTAGGCTTGACATGGAGTAGCATTAGGATATTTTCTCTCCCTTTAAGAAAGATTGAGCTGCAGTAAAAGTTCTTTTTTCACAATATTTACTTTTTTTCAATCCAGGATATTTTTCATTAGGTGTAGGAGCTGAGTCTCTCATAGTCTCACCCAATACATGTGATGCATTGTGACAGGTTCCTTTTTTGAGCCAAGAACTGCATTTAACACTCACTTGGTTTTAGGTGAGTTGTTGTTCCAGATGTTCAAGTGATGATGGCTCAAACAAACACTGCGAAGATGCTCTTAAAAGTGCCATCCAGCAAAGGGCTGGGTATAAAAATAATGCAAACACACTCTTTATATTTCACATTTTCATTTAGCTTGTATGAGTACCAAAGTCGAGGCTGTAAACACAAACCTGTAATGCCTGTATTCCCTTATATCATGCCTGAATGTTGAGGAAAAAAGATGAGGATGGTTGATGATGAGAAAAAAGATGAAGACTATTGGGAGGGGCAGGAGGGATCACATGTAGAACAACTTTTACTGCAGTGATAAGCTACTGCAGCAGCAAAGGAGATAAAAATGGATTTGTGTTACAGAATTGCATTAACTCGTTTTAATTTCTCACTGTTTTTACTATAATCCCAGGTACCTTGTTGGGCAACGACTTGTGAATTACGAACGGAAGTCTGGTAAACAAGGCACATCAACAACTCCACCTCAGTCTTCGCAAGAATAGATGGTCATATTAAACATCTTGACCTTCCCTTTGCCTTTACATGTCCTTTTTTTCATAGACTCTTCTTCAGTCTTTGGATATCTCTCCCAGTAATGCTCTCAGCAGTGTTTTGGCTTCTGTTAATAGCATACAGATAGCAGTTAAGGCTCTGTTCCTTATCTGCATTTCTCTGATGTTATCAATGCTGTCTGAGGTCTGTATATGTGTAAATAGAAGTATCCTGACACCCTAAAACCTTGGATTAAAAAGAATGTGCATTGTACATCTTTAAAAAAGTATATTAATTTATTAAATCTAGTTGTCACTTTATTTTGGACTGCTGTTCTGTTGACAATGTGCCACAAAGCAATAGTGCAAAGAGGCAAGATGTTTTTATAAAATTTGGAGCTTACTTTATGGCATTCATAACAGTTCTTACTGTAGTAATATAGTATGAGTTTTCATGAGTGGAAAAGCCACACAGAGAATATCAGAAGTAAGTAACTGTCTTACAGTCAGCAATGAAGTGGCTGTGGTGAGAACATAATGAACTATGTATCTTGCTGTCAAGTCTTTTTTATTATTTTGTATAACACCAAAGCTGTTGTACATTTTTCTATTGCCTGATTGTTTTTCATGTGTCTGAGTTTGTAATATTGTACAGTTGCTGTTAAATCAAGAAAATACTTCCTCTTCTGAGAATTCAAGATGTACTTGTTGAGACTCAGCTGGGTGTTTCTGTTGGGGGGCGGGTGTGGGGGGAGGAAGCAAGGGGGGCGGTATTGGCTTTAGGAATCAGGATTTCCTGAACTGAAACAGTAAACAAAAAAATTTACTAAGGTTAGGTGATGGAAGCATTTAAAGGTACCAAGGAAAATTAGATAGGTTCATAACTGAAATTGTAGCCAATTTCTTATCAATAATAGAAATTTTCAGGACCTCAGGGGGAGGGATGAACCTTATCTGATGTGTTTGCACAGAAACAAAGAACAGAGTGTAAGCACCATTCTGACCTGGTCCTTAACTAGAGAGCTTGAAATCTTCTTTTCTGTAAGTTACCAAAGTTGCAAATTGTAGTATGAATTTTATATTGCACAATTACTTAAAAACAAACATAAAAAAAAAAGACCTGCAACAACAAAAGCATCTCTTTTCTTTCAGAATTGGTCACTGTGAATTTTTATGGGAATAATATTGGGGAAGTAATTTATCATGTACCATTTATTGCCTGTGGGGCAGGGAAACACATATGCTATTAAACAGGCAAGGAAAAGATAGCAGATTTCTTTCCAAGGACACAGTCAAACAAGAGCCACCAAATCAAGTCTGTGCTATTTCTATATGTAGATAAGAGTTCTTTTGCAGTAATGTTTGGGGGATTTTTATGTAGATATTTTAAAGAAACTACGTAACAGTATCGCAAAGCTTTAAATAGCATCAAATCACATGCTTAGATCACAATATCTCTCACAGATTAAAAGGGGGAAATGTGAATATCCATTGCAGCAATCAGAAAACTGATGAAACATTAAACTTGCTACTCGGTACACTGTCCTTCAGTATTCCATACTTGACCGTATGTGTATACAATTAATACTTGAGAATTGCTTGGCAGGTGCTTTGAGAGTGTCATCTCCTTTTATTGATGTTGCATCTCTGATCTGATGTGTTTTGAGTTAATGTGGTCCAGGCTGCGATGGTGACTGTTCATTTTCCAGTGTCTGGACTCACGTTTGGAGGCAGTGAGCACAAGCCAAATGCATCTGAATCTAGTGACAGGAGGACTGTGCTGTCACTTATCAGAAGGTTGGAAACTACTATCTCACAGAATCACTGTTGTCCTGATGGTTTTGAACCATAAATATTACCCTTTGGAGTGATTTATTAGGAAATTTCCAGGGAACTGAAATCATAGAAAAATAACCAAAATGTTTTTCTGTCATTCACTATTGCTGACTAAATGCTAAATTGAGTATTGGCCCAATATATTTTTGATGTGCATAAATACTGCATTTGACTATTTACAGTGGTGTACATTGTGTGACAGATATATTTTCACAATATTAAATTCACTGGTAACATACATTCTTTCTTACACCAAGATTCTGTCCTTGACATATCTTCCGTAAACAGTTCCAAAATGGTCTTGCCACTCAAAGATTGCGAGCACAATTTGAGTGCATCATGCAGAATTTGCAGAAGTGTGGTTCTTGTAACTTTGTGTTTTTATCCAGACAAACTGGTCTTAACATTAAAATTTATTAAGAAAAAGCCATTATGTTGTTTCTTATTACTGTTATTTTGCAAGTCGTAACAGAAGAAACTGAACCGGGTATGAACCAGTCACGCAGTGTGAACTGAAGCTATTTTACTGTAGCTTACATTACCTGTATTCACTCTGTTACAGAGAACTGGCTTCAAATCAAACAGTTATGCTTGCTTTTGCACTGCTTTACAGATCCCAGGTGAAATTTCAGAAACTGTCCATCATGAACTTTTACGAAATGTTATCTCCCAATTTCGTTATTTTTGCATGTTTTGGGAAAGAAGATGGAAGTTGTACAGAACAAGAATTAAGTAACACTGCTTTTGTATTGGTTTAAATTTTGATAGTTTGCTTTACTATGCTGTATGTACTCCTGTGGCAGAGAAACTTGATAGCAAGCATGCTCAGGAGTGTTGCGTCCCGACTAGAAGGAAGTGCGGCAGGAGGGCCAGGAGACCTCCATGGATGGATAATGAACTGCTGAGGAAACTTAGAGGGCAAAAAAGAAGCTTATTGGAGGTGGAAGCGAGGACAGGCAGCCTGGGAAGAATACAGGAACGTTGTCCGGGAAGCCAGGGACCAGGTTAGGGTCCAGATGGAATTAAATCTGGCAAGGGACATGAAAGATAACAGGAAGGGCTTCTATAGGTACATAGCAAATAAAAGACAGACTAGGGACAATGTGGGCCCTCTCCAGAAGCTATCAAGAGAACTGGTTGCCCTGGATTTGGAGAAGGCTGAGGTTCTTAATGACTTCTTTGCCTCTGTCTTCACTAGCAAATGCTCAGACCACACCACCCAAGTCTTGGAAGGCAAACACAGGGACTGTGAGAATGAAGACCTTAGGCCCACTGTAGGAGAGGATGAGGTCCGAGACCATCTTAAGAACCTGAATGTGCACAAGTCCATGGGACCTGATGAAATCCATCCACGGGTCCTAAAGGAGCTGGCGAATGAAGTTGCTCGGCCACTGTCCATAATATTTGAAACATCATGGCAGTCAGGTGGCGTTCCTGAGGACTGGAAGAAGGGCAACAGAATCCTCATTTTCAAGTAGGGGATGGTGGAAGGCCTGGGGAACTACAGTCCAGTCAGTCTCACCTCTGTGCCTGGCAGGATCATGGAGCAAATTCTCCTGGAAAGAATGCTGAGGCACATGAAAAACAATGAGGTG